CACATCTGTTGATCTGCAACCCATAACTTAACTTTGCTACGTAATCCAAGATAATAATACTTTATAGTTCCTGCTTCTCCACAAGAGCGGCACTTTTCAGTTGCAGACTCCATAATGTCCCAGTGGTTTTTATGTGCTCCACTCAAGCAAATAAAGTATTCTTTAGCATCTTCATACCCTACATCGTCAAAAAATTTTTTGGCTTGTTCCCAGTCCTTGGGCCACCTTATTTTCATTGTGTGGTCTTCTTCATCTATTTCTTTTCCTCTGCAATACATACGGCGAGCATAGCAAAGTGGGTCTTCTACAGTGCATAATGAAGAACCTGTTCTTACACTAAGTTCAATTGCTTCAAATATGCACTTCACAATGGCATACTTTAATTTCTGATCTTCAGTACCAGGAGCAGTTCCTCCATTGTCATCCCCATTTATGCCATTACCATCATCTCCAATATCATCCACACCTTCAAAGTCCATTGGGGGGTCCACATCCTCAACATCAGAAAGGTTTTGATGTTGAGGAGAACAAATTTGTTCAAAGTTTTCAGTTGCATCTTCATCTTCTACTTCTTCAGTGGCCAGATTGGTTGAGGTACCACACTGCAAACTTACCGTTTCCTCTTGCAAACCAGTGAATTGGTAATCTGTACTGACTGTACGGACTATAAGTTGATTCGCCCGATATTGGATGTTTAGAACGAGAAATTACATGTTGTCTTGCCTGCCACTTTTAGCTTGCTTTGCATTGAATTGGCAGCAGATGTGAAGGACGACAAATACATCTTTGGAAGTTAAGTCTTGGCAGGTTATATGTTTGGTGCGCTTGGAACCGACCTTTATTCCAGGTGAATCATCTTTTGAGGTGAAACGGTTCCAGGCGAAATGACCACAGTTCAACAAAAGTGAATATAAAAAACAAGTTCATAATTTGAGCAAATTACCTGCTACACTGACTGCATTGGAGGCTTCCAAATTCCTCTCAAATTCTAAGTGGGATATTTGGGTTCGGTAATTCACAGGTTTTCCATTGCAGGAACTGCAGCAACAGTGAACATGAACTGTTTTCTTGGCAGAACAAAAGCAGAGAGAAGATGGCTGTCTCTTTCCTCCCTCTGCCATGTTTGCAGCTTGAATTACAAGCCAGACAGCGGTGTCATCCATTAATGACACCTCAGGTGTGTTTACAAGAAGTAACATTTGTTTTGAACCAATCAGAGCGAATCACGGCACGCCAAAAATAGCGGGAAATATTACTGCTTGTGCATTATGTCATGGCGGCTGTTCAGGTGAAGACGTATTGTTCTTCTCTAAAGGCAATGGTTTCCTCCCCAGTTTGTGATGAAGAGGAAAATTCTGAGCTAGATTCGTCTTGCAGCACATTATCGGTAGTCCAATAGTCCACCTCAATCTCAAGTGACACCAGTGATGCTAAAAAGAACTACAAGCATGGGTTTGACTCCGAGCGTGGTGGCCGTGGATCAAAGAGAAGATGTCGAAGATCCGAGAGGTAAGTTCCCGCCAAAACAGTTTTGCTTTCTGACTAATCAACTTCTTCTGCCCGGTTCTTAGTTTCTTTTGTTCTTGCTTTTTTTTTCAGACTGGGATGTTCAGCGTGTCAAGGTCTGGGCAAAAGCGCTATTTAATGATGAAGGCATAGCTAGAAAATTTGATGAAGAAGAAATCGAGGAGTGTACACTGCAGTCTGAACGCATCTTGTCCGATGCATCGATGGACAACCTTGGATTATCAACAATTGGAAAGAAGGACAAATTTGCCACTGCCATCCAGGATCTTTGCGGTAAATTTATCAAAGTCACAATAATGATAATACAGTCAGTTTTTATTTTTGTGGTTTCTTCAAGTTTGGAATAGACTCTTTCACGGTTTCTGGCACCATCTTTGTTGTGGGCAAAATTTACAGCCAATAGTTGCGGTTCCACTAGAGCTTTTGCCCACGGGAAAGTAGGAATTTACCCACGGGAGTCTGTGTTTTGTGTGTGAGCGATATTCCCACAGTGAAACTGCCCACGGGAAATCACTATGGATACATCAAAAAGAACAAAAGAATGACCCATGACATTCCCAGAACCAAGTAGTAGGGTTTAGCCTTGGTTTATCTAACCACAAGAGTAATTCAACCAATCGGGTGGAAGAAAATTGCAAATACAGGAAACCGCAGCATATGCTGGGCACATTTTTGCGGTGTTGAACTCAATTCGTGGCAAATGCTCTGGCACGTACCAAATTCGGGACACGCAGTAACAAGCATGGCAAACTTTCGAGGTCCAAAGTGAGTATATTTTACTCGTCTTTTCTCAAATACCCTAATTATCTGAGTTCCTTTAGTGTGGCATAGTTTTGTAATTCTTTTTTTTTTTTCACAGGTACTTTAGATCAGACGATGGTGAGGAAGGTGCACCGTTGTACAACGGTTATTTATTTCAGAGAAGTTGAGAGCAAGAGAGTTATCAAAATCAACCAGGAGCTTACTCTCCATATCCGTACTATTTAACTAGCAACCCAAGAATACCTTACCGGTACGTTCCTCAGGAGGCTCTGCGATCTTGTAGCCCAATCAGCAGTTCTCAAGCTGACTTATCTTGTGAGAAGAGTGTCACAGAAAAGAGCAGGCGTACAAGCTGGGAACATGCAGAAACATGAAGCTTGATTGCAGCCTACCGGGAAAATTACGATCGTTTAAAGTCCACAAAGAGTAGCCATGGCAAGAAAAG